TGCGTGGGGTGGTGGAGGGTGAGCAGGCACTATCTGAAATGCATGCGATATATGTGTGTATATATATATGTATATTTTTTCTGTATATATATATATGTGTGTATATATATATTAGAGAGAGAGAGAGAGAGANNAGAGAGACACACACACACACATATGCACACACACAGAGACACTTGCCCATGCATCAATTACCTACGTGCCTCATTTGTCAAAAAACCGTGTCTCGGATATCTCAGCTTCGGGCTGTGCTTGGAGCTCGAAGAGGTTGGCTGCCCAGCCTTCGCGCGCACGTATAGTGGCTCATGTCTGTTGTAGACGGAGGCGACTTTGCGAGAACCTCGCTCATGATGCATTTCTTGCAGAATGCAACCTCCATCAGCCTATGTTGAGTACCTCAGCTCTTGAAGCTGAGTTCACAGCATAGGATGTGACAAAACTCTCTGAAAAGCATTGTGGGGGTGAGTGGCTGGGCCAAGCATCGAGAACTGATGGCACACTACCGACACTAAGAAAGCGCTCTTCAACCACATCATGCCATCAGCTCAGAATGTCTCCTTAATGGAAAGCCTCCGGCTCCAGGGACTCCATGTGCAAGGCTTCGCTTCCGGATCAGCTCGGAGGCGCAGCGTGATCTCAAAAGATGGCGTGCGTTTGGCTGAACCTCTCGTATCAGCCGTGGCATAACGAAGCAGCAAGATCAAGCATCTCCCTCAAGCATCCCGTAACGGCATGGATTTGGACAACTGGTGTTTGCGAAGATTCGGACTGGCTACGTTGCATCAAATGAGGCCGCTGTGAATCCTTCTCAAGCTCGAGGGCTGCCCGCTGTTGACGTCTGCGCTGAAATCGTACTCTTATAACTTTGCTTCTGCAAAACGGATGAAAGAACCTCTGAGATGTGCTTAGCTGGTTGATTGCAGGCCTTTGCAACAGAACTTCCGTTTGCAGTTGAAGACAGATACGGGCGATGCTCATGCCGTCGGCATCTGTCTGTGTAGTTGGAAGGGCATGTTCGCCTGGGTCACTCGCGAATCGCGGCGTTCAGTTACACACTCGGATAGGTTCGGGATATTCCAGTCTGGAATTCGTGAAGCCTTTTGTCGTTCTGCTCCTGCTTCAAATGCTCCCGCTGAAGAAACCCTAAGATGCCTTTCGGCATGGAAGCATTATATCAAGGCGATGTGCAAAATCGCACACAGACATCCCGATTCCAGATATGACCCAGTATTCAGCAGCGCAGCTCATTTCGAGGGCGCATGGAAAACCCCTCATTCCAAAGTCGTGCAAGGAATCCCGCAGGTAACCTAGATCGTATTGACCGCATCATAAAAAGATTGTTCTTTGGATGTCCTTGCCCTGCTTTCAAATTCATTCGGCGATACTTGCAAGTGCATCTCGCAGGAGGGGAGTCGGTAGATGCAACCTTTGCTTTCTTGGCTCCAGGACGTCTACATGACGCCGGACTTAGCCTCGCACTCAGAGGATGTATCCAGCTTAGGATGCCTCTAATGAAACCATAAGCATGCTCTGCGGACGACAAACACAACTGATGCCAACAGAACACTGTTGCCGTTTACGGGGCACATCAATTATCGGCACCCCTTCGTTGACTGGCTGCTCCTGCCGCGATCGGCAGACCTAAGATCTAAGAAATGTGAAACAAACGTGAAACGCACAGTGAGACGAAGCGTACCAACCTTAAGAGTGCAAGAAGTCCCTTTTGCAGCTGGGCCATGTACGCGCGAGAAGTCTCTAAACGCTGCAACTTATGTCGGAGATTTGCGTTCGAGACTTGACATGAGTTTGAATGCACATGCCCTGCAAAAAGGCTCTTCTTCACCGTCAAAGCGAACCCATGGCAGCTTAAACAACTTAAATGAGGAGCAAGGCATCAGAACAGCGGGTCCAATTCACACTGTGCGCCGAAAGCCTGGCGTTGCCACATGCGGGCTCTGCGCGAGTATGGGCTCGGGAAAGCTTGCGAGTCAGCTGAGCACACCGCACACGTTTACGCACACACACACACACACCACAAACACCAGGACAGATGGAGAGCGGGGTTTCCTTAACCATGAGTAACTTTGCTCGACCTGTCTAGCCGCGGCTCTAGCGATTCTAGCCCGGCATGTCACCGTCTGCACGAACAAGGCGGATAAATCATTTCCGTCACAATGTGTAGACCGGCAGACCCTTGTTCATCGTGTGTGTTGCAAAAACCCAGCTAGTGCAGAAGGACTTATGCCAGCCAAGCCGCTGAATGCCTGCACCCTGTGCTACATCTTCTGAGCGGGCGCCTAGACTTTGAGAAGTCCTGGCTAGCACTGCAAGATCACGCTGAAAGGCAGTTACTCAGTACATAAGCGGTTTGTCGCTGGGACCCTTCTCGGCTGAAGCCTTGCATCACGGAGTCCTGCATTAGAGTTTTGAGGATGCAGATGGTCTCAGCATGCATCCACCTTGCAAAAACACGGACTCAGAAGCACATCCGATGCCGGCATCTCGAATAAGTGTACACCTGGAGCGCCTGGATGTTACCATTAGGACAGCCAAGATGCAGACAAGACCTCGTGGTGGGGCTCGCGAATCGGTGTTCGTGGAGTGTCCTCGTCTTCGTCCTCGCTTCCCATGAGGATCCTGAGCCACATGTCTTTAAAGCACTAAGTCATGCAGCTCGGCAGTTTTCAGAAGACTCCATCCAGCGTTCTTCTCAAACTCTCGCACAGCCTTTAGCATACGTCACCTGCCACATGCACGAACGTTGCCCTAGGAGAAGGAAGACCAATGCCATGGCAGGTGTCTCCCTCAGCAGAGCCTCTTGCTCGTCGATCTCCTTCCAAGGCACAGCAGGGTCACGCGCCACTCGAGGCAGCCGGAGCTGAGCAATGATCTTGCACATTTGTTGACATACCCTCGGAAGAGACAAGTCCTCGACGTCAATGCCAAGCGCCCAAACCTCGTGATCAAGAAGCAGCTCCTGCAAGCGCTGTGACGTGGTGTAAGCGGGGCACATAGTGTCATGCCTCGCCCGTGAACACGGCAGAAGCGCGAAGGTCACTAGAAGCCTTTGTCATTAGTCCCTTGCGCGGGGTGCCTCGTCCTGATGTTGCTCCACCTCTACGATGTCCTGAAAAGAAGCCAACAGAGAAAGCAGTCGCGCAGTTTGATTTCACCTATATGATTATCGCATTGCTGCGTCGTCAGTGCGTAAATGTCTAAATAGAAGTCGGCAAGTCTGCCGCCTTTCCTCCAACGCACACCTACAGTGGACTTACGCATGACCACACCTACAGCACCACATGACCAACGCAAGTGAGGTCCGAGGTACATCCTCCTGGCAGAAGGAGACTGACTTCCGGATACTTCGCCGGCGCGCTTCGTCGTTGTGGATGCCGGCTCCGTTGAAAACGAGACCTGTCTCCTGGCGTATGCGAACACGGCTGCCGCAACACAGAGCCTCTGCTTCGGTTGGAGGCATGGCTCCTCCAGAATCCCATCCATCAAAGACTCTTCTTCTCCTGCACGATCGGGTAGGCTTGGCTTCATGGGTGCAACGCGATATGGCCGGTGCCTGCAACAACTCCCGGAAGCACTGGCAGTGCAGAACACACGTGAAGGCCTTAGTGGACGCGGTGACAACTCCCGGAACATTCTTTCCAAGGCTTGTTGCAGTTCCGCTCTGTCCTCAAACGAGTGAGCGGACGGAGATCTCGGTGAGTCTTCCGAACCCAGGGTCGAAGCACAGAACCATCTGTGAGATTGCAGTTTCAAATGTGGAGCCGGAACGGTAACTAAAGGAGCAAATTGAAAGACCAGGAGCAGTCATCCAAGTCCGGCCGGACATCACCTGCACAGAATGCCGCCGGAAGCGACCGAGTTTGCACAAAAGGCCCTACAGCATCACCGAGAATGGAAGCAGCAATCACGGAGGTCGTGTCGGAGACACTCCGGCAAAAATCGCTCAGGAAGGCGCCTCCCTGGGAGTCTTCCTCCTCTTCAGGCACGCCGGAGCAGCCCTCCTGACAACTGCTCCACAGGCTCCGTTGTAAGTATTACAAGGGTTACAAGAGTGTTACAAGTGCACGAACCACCCGCGCACCCGCCCTTTGCCAAACCTCGTCGATCTCTTGGAACTTCTCCCTCAGCAAGGCCTTCTTTGCAGGTCGGAGACCTGCCATCAGAGTCTCGGCGACCTTCGGGCCCCGCAGTCCTCGGCGGGGGGCCGTTTTGCCCCGTTTTGGGCTCGTTTCTAATTGCAGGTCCAAATCGGCCCGGCTGCTGTACACCGCAGCAGCAAGGGCCTGAATCACAATCGCAACAACATGCAAACAGTTGTGGCAGTTCATGGGCAGCACCAGGGCCATCCAAGCAAGTGAGATTGAAAGCAGCCGACGACGAGACTGTCGGGCTTTGTAGTTCAAGCTCCACGAGGTCTCCGCTGCCTGTTCCCTGCAGCCCACCGCGCTTTTGGCTGTCGAGTTTTCCCACAAGCACCGTACTTCCTGCTACGAGTACATTTCAGGGTCGGATAGGGTCGGGCAAATTGAAGTGACGCTCGTGAGGTGAACGCAGTGGATTGTGATCGCAAGCATCTTGGCCGCAGCAATGCAGCAGGCATCCACTCCTGATCCAATTTCCAGAGCATCCATGCTGCCACATGCTGCCTCTCCATGATAAAGTCCACTTTCAGGAGCATCCGTTCCCCGCAGCACCCATGCTGGCCCCGTCACAACCTCCATTTCAACAGCATTCCTGGTGCCTCCATGATAGCATCTAGTGCAAGTCAAATTGAAAAACCGCCCTACTCTTGCAGGGGATGTGCATTGTCCGACTGGCAGAGCCCGTTGATTCAGCGGATTCAGCACGCGCACAAGTTCGCCAGTGCGAAGGCAGTCTAGTTCTCATAGCTATTGCTGGTTAATCCGGTGCACCATAATCCGTTTGGCAAGCACCAGCAGGTTTCTAAATGCATAGTATATGCAATAGTCCGCTTCCATCCCGGATCACTGATTACTACCCTAGCAGCAGCAGCAGCAGCAGCACCACCACCACCTCCACCACCACCACTACTTCGACGACAACGGCTACCTACTATGGTATACTAGTACTACTATCACTACTGCTACTGCTACTGCTCCTGCTATTACTACCACTCCTGATACTGCTACTACTACCAGTACTACCAGTGCTACGACCAATACTAGTCCTCCTACTGCTACTACTACTACTACTACTACTACCACTACTACTACTACTACTACTACTACTACTACTAAGACTACTACTACTAAGACTACTACTACTAAGACTACTACTACTACTACTACTACTGCTACTACTA